GTGTGTGTGTGTGTGTGTGTGTGTGTGTGTGTGTGTCCACGTTAGTGAAAACCACCACCTAACCCTCGCCCACATTAAAGCTGCATTACTTTTGAACACATGACTTCATCAGTGTTTAGTGTCCATTTTATCATTTTACAAACATAATTAGACCGAACACAAAAGTAATCCACCTACATTAAATGTAGCATGTTAGTTATAAACTTTTTAATTTTTATTTATTTATTTTGTTCCGCTCTTGGAGGAGCAAGATGCTTTTTCCTTCTCTCCTGCCCTCCCTTAGCTTCCCTGCTTTGCTGCTCGGAGCCTCCTCTACATTTTCATCTGAAACCAGATATTATGGATATTTTTATTTTTATGGATTTGATTAGCTGGTCTCTTAATAATTTTTTTGGGAACAAAGTTTTTTCTTCCATGGGAGGACATGTCAAAGGTGGGACCTCTGTTCTGCTCTGTTCGGGACATACTGTATATTTGGATTCTGATCACTGGATTCTGCAGATTGGCTTGGTGGTCTCCTGGTGTTCTACAAAACAGCATTGGTGGCTATTCAGGCCATTTCCTGGCTGCCTGACCAATATGAAGGATTGCCGTTCTTTCAGCACTCAGACTTTGCCTTGTGCGTGCTGGACTCGGTATGCAAGCGGTTCTGCTGAGGGTCGCGGGCCGGCTGTGGTCCCTGGACTTTGCTGGCCAGATGGAATTGATCTTGTAGAAAGCTGATAGCTCGGCTCGGCGGAATTTGTCCACACTATTTGACTGATTGGATTCACCACATTGAGAGGTACCAGCGGACATTAAGGCTGATGGAACATTGTTATTGTCCGCCTGGCCCAAAACATTCTCTTATGTTCCCAAATAACTGATTACAGAATTTGGCTCTCCCCTACATGGCCTTGAGAGCTGTGGACTAAATTCTTCCTGGATGTTTATATCGACTGAGGGTCTGCCCCACACCTCCCCACCCCTCTCACACCCATCTGTGATCTGGTTCCTGGAGCAAGCTGAGGGCCGCACAGAATGAACCCTTAACATCCATATTCTGGATTATGGCTGCATGGGTTTTGGGGACTTGATTCTTCTGGCTCATTTTTCAGATATTCACACAGATATTGTGCATTCAACATTCATGGCTTCAGATACACCCCGCCCAAACTCACTTACTCCTCTGGCTAATAAATGTGCCCTATGCAGAGATTTTTTTACGAACATCATGATGTGTCACATTGTTGATGTAATATGATGTTTTGTTTTGTTTTTCCTTCAACCTCCCTTGTGTGGTTTTTAGTTTTTCTTTTAGAGGTTACGCCTCCTCATGATGTCTTCATGATGATGATCCTTGCTCTGTTTAGGGTTCTGTGGCTGCATGACCCAGGGCACCTGTTCTCCTATGTTTGTTATGTTCTGTCTTCTTTTGAATGGCTGTTCTGAACTGTAATTTCATTGTGCTCTAAACAATGACAATAAAGGTCTATCTCATCTTATCTAACTAGTCAAACATTACACCTACTAATATTAGACAGACAGTCTAACATTACAGTCTAACATAAACCTAACAAGGTTTATTAAACATAAATAAAAACTAGAACAGCAAAGCAGTTATGACCGGGGTCCAAGCCCTTTTATGCATGTCAGCCTTTGTCATGTTGTTTGTAGYATATTGTTGATCTTTTAGCTTCTTGGACAAATTTCTCTCCAACAAACACAGTAAATAAATAAAATTTGAGAAGTTTGAGTATCAGAATTGTTTGTTATATATCACATACTTTATGCTGTGAATACTAGCTCTGTAGGTCAAATGTATGATTTTTAATATTTTTTAAAGCCTGTTATGTACAAGCCCTGTCCACTTTTAACCAATCATTACCATATTCTACAAACCCACTCAGTTTGTGCTCTTAAGTAAGAGCACAAACTGAGTGGGTTTGTAGAATATGGTA